AGAGTTACGCAGGCCTCCAATTTTTAAAGGGCCCGCAGGAATATTTCTTTTTTAAAACACCCACCCACACCCACATCCTTATGAGTCAATTATCAACGGGATGGAATAGGAAGGCAAGCATCCTTTGAAGCGAGGACACGCAGAGAGGAGACGGGTTGCTCTCAGTCGCTCCTTGCGGCCGTTTTGTTTCTGGGGGGTGGGGGTGGGTCTTCACCTGATGCCCATCTGCAACTCTGAGGTGCTTCGCTCCCTCCGCCTGCCGCTTCCCCCCAACTCCACACCCCCAGCAGACTGGTACTCAAGCCCCTCTGATAGGCCTTGTCTCAAATTCTCAGTCGGAAGCCTCTGACTGGATCCAGCCGGCCAACAGAGGACATCAGCACCTCAAAGCCGGTCTGGAAATGGGGATCCCTCAAGGATCCGACTTGGGATCCGGGACTAAGGAAGGGACTTCTTCCCACCCTACCCCGCTCTTACCTCCTAGCTAGATCCTGAAGCGGAATCTTCCAGTCTTCCCGGTGGACCTGGGTTCATCTCCTATTTTATTTTAGTCCCCGGCAACCATTTCTTGCACTCCCCAGCGCCTCCCCCCCCAGTCTCAATTCCTGCTGGGGAAGGCATCGCATTTCTAGCACGCTGTGCTGGCAAAGGGCGAAGGATTGCCAAGGCCTGCTTGCGAAATATCTGCAAGAGAGGGGTTACAAAAATGTAGATGATAAAAAAAGCAAAACGAAACAAAAACATTCCCCAGTCTCCATTGACAGTAAATTTGGGGACTGGGGACCAGGAAAGAAAGGAGTCTATAAGGTCAGTATTCTTGCTCCCCAGCCCCGGAGAGATCAAAGTGCCTGCGATGTCAGGTCTACCCAAATATCGCTGTGTGTGTGTGTGTGTGTGTGTGTGTGTGTGTGTGTGAGAGAGAGAGAGAGAGAGATGGGCTCCTGAGATCGGATCTGCCCAGATCGCCTTTGCAAGATGCAGCTCTTCACGCTCCCTATAATATATAGAAACAGGACAAGCCATGCAGACACATCATGCGGTTTAATTCCACCACAAGTGCGGTCTAGCGATACGGCCAGTTGGCCCTCCATCTAGTCCACGAGCATCTGGGTTTTCAGTCCTCCATATCTCCCCCCACCATTTCTGCCCGCTTAGCACGCCCCCTCCTCCTTCCAAAAGGGCTACATTCCTCCCAATTGCAACCAGCACCCCCCCCAGGAAAAAAAAATTCCAGAAGACGAAGAAGAAGAGGGGGAAACTGACTGATGGGGATTTAAAGCAGAAGAACACAAATTAACCTTCCATTACTGCTGCGCTCAAGCATGACAAAGGGGCCGGTTGCGTGCGCGGTGACGTCTCCGTGTCCTATAGGTGCAGGCGCTGGTGAGATAGGAGCGATCGCCTCGAACCCGCTTTATTTTATTGGAGTATGGCTGGTAATAAACAGTAATATTTAATTTGTCAGAGGCCACAAATCGCTCGCGAGGCTGGGCGAGCCTGTCTCTCTCCTTGACAAGATCCTGGAAGGGCGCTACCTCCGCAGGAGATTCCCCACGAATCCTTTTGGTCTTGTTTGAACCTGGAGCAGCAGGGACAGAAATCGTCGTGGTCGTCTGCGGCGTCTTCAGCTCTGCTTCGGAGCCCTTGCATAGCTGGTTTGGGTTTCATAAGGTGAGAGATGGTCCTTTTAGCAGAGTTTGGGGGGGGATCGGTCTCTTCTATGCTGCAATGGTGAATTTTGTTGTGTGAGTGTGTGTGTGTGTGTGTGTGTGTGTGTGTGTGAGAGAGAGAGAGAGAGAGAGAGAGAGAGAGAGAGAGAGAGAGAGAGAATGTTGTATTGTTACTATTTTCAGGATGTCCGGTGGTTGATGATGGGACTGACCCGTGCCAAATGAACGGTCAGAATCCAGTCAGAATTGTAGCGCCCTAGATTCCCATGGATTGCAGTGGGGGCGAGATATAAACACGTAGTTTTGCCCCTCTGTCGGTATAGATGCCTCGAAACATCCTTCTCAGCGCCTCGATCGTGCCTATCGATTTTAAATATATACATATATAGATATTGTTTATTGATTTTAAAGATGGTCGTGCTTATACAGTAGATGTGTTGCACAGAGTCTAGTTTTGAGAAAGGAGCTCGTAGCTGGAGTCTCTGGAAGCAGCCTTTGGACTTGAAGTAGGTTTCAGTCGGGCCGAATATAGCTCAGGAAGGCAGGCCGTGTGCCTACGCGTGGTATTTTACTCAGTGTGCGTGCGTGTGCACCTCTATACCCATAATACACGTTCTCTGTTTGGGCTGTGATTTGGGTTGTCTTTGTTGAACGACAGCTGCTGGCCTCTGTTCTTTGTGGAACTTCGTGCACACAGTCGCCCGTGGTTTAAGTTATTTTTCCAGCTGCGGGGCTATCTGCAAGATTTGTAGGGTTTGCTGAAAGTTTGGAAGATATAAGCAAATCTCAGAAAGAGCCTCCTCTTTCAAAACTGAAGGAGGTTTGAAACACAGGCGCGCATACAAACGCACACCCGCACACCAACATAATAAAAATCCAAGGCATTTTGTATATTGAAAATGTGCTGTGGAAACAATACAGTAATCGATAATATCTATCTATATCTGTCTGTCTGTCTGTCTATCTATCTATCTATCTATCTATCTATCTATCTATCTATTCATATATCTCTCCGGATATTTTTCATGAACAGAGAGGAAAGAAAGTTGGAGGTTGATTTAGTTTCTGCATCAAGCTCTAACTCGATAGGCTAAAATTCATTCCTCCAGAGTAATTCTGCCGCGAGCGGAGAAATAAAATCCCACTGATTTTCACCCGGATGTAATTAAAATATAGTCTACATAGAATCCATGGAATTTACCCCGGACGAAACGTTGCCTGGGGTTGGGCCAAATGTTCGGGCGGTTTCTAAAATGTGCACTACATATACCAGTTTAGGATTCTCTTTCTAAGTCGTTGTTGCTGTTCTTGTGTGTTACACAAACCAACACAATATTAAGGTGGAGTTGTGGATTGTATACACACACATACGATCAATATACAATCATTTTTGTATACATATATACGCAAAACGTGAGTATTAAAAGCACAAACTCTATTATCAGGGGTACTAATCTATAATGATACCAATCTATAATGCATGATACACGAACGTATACGCACACTTTGCAACATAATGAGTGTTAATACATGTGGTTCTGGTATATGATATTTTAACACATTAGAAGGTGAGTTGAGAAACGCATGGCAAAGTCTCTGCTTATGTGCCCGCAGAATAAAAACAAGAAGTGTGTATATTACATGCCTTACTCTCATGCTCAGGGTTTTTATTTTGCAAGGCATTATGTGGGTGCAGTATCCTGCAGCCCACGTTGCTTTTCCAAGGGATTACAAATGGGAAAGATTTGCAATCGGGTGCTAGCAAACTGCACAGAATTTCTCGCCCCTCGAGGCTTGACTGATCTCCACTTTCAGCCCCTCCAACCCCCGCTTTTACCTCCAGCTCGAAAAGCGATCCAAGCAGATCGCGCCTTATTGGACGAGATGAACTTTCCAGCGCGAATGTTGAATCAGTGTTTGAATTGCAGCGAGGCTTACAGCGCAATCCTATGCCTGCTTCCTCAGAAGTAAGCCCCACTGACCTTTCGCTCGCCTTCCTTAATAGTGCAACCCTGTAATGTTTACTCGGCAGGAAGCTCCACTTTGTTCCCTGAAGTTGACTTCTACCTAGGTGCGTGGCAACCGAATCCCCAATTTATCGGGGGAGAGAAAGTCCAACGGTCTGCAAATGGGGCACTCTTTGAGTTGGAGAGGCGCTGAAGCTCTCGGTAACCTCCAAATTCCATTTTAGAGAACGAAATGGAATCATGCAAGAAAGCGGAGGCAGAGCTCAAAGAGTGCTAAATAAAGATCCTTTATACCGAACTCTTTTTTTTTAAAAAAATAGTAATAAAAAATAACCACACGTGGCTATTATCAACCTGGTACTCTTCAGATTCCAGAAAGAGCCAGGGAGGCTGTTTATCCTCGCTTTGACCTATTCAACTTTACCCTCAAAAATAATACATTTGAAAGAAAAAGAAAAGAAAGTTAAGATATAGAGAAGAGAAAGACAGATTACAAAAAATCACATCCTCAGCTCTCTTGACGGGTTGATTATTTTTAGTAAAGCCGGTTCTTGGAGCTTGTATATGTATATAGTCTCTCTCTCTCTCTCTGTCGTGTGTGTGTGTGTCCTATACATTCTTTATTTCTTTAGAAAAAGAGGGTGAGATTATTCGTAGGGAGGTGGAGGTCCTTAAAAAAAATAAACCTATGCAGTAAAAAATAATCATTGTTAGTAACAAGGAGATGACAATCAGAACAGATGTATTTATTTACACGGTGGTAGGACCCATGGCAAAATACATATGGAGGAGCAGATCCTCAAATAACCTGGGAGATCTCTCACACAGTACAACATGACAGTGGTCTTATTTCTCTCCCCATAAGAACAACCCGAAAACTACCGCCGTGTAATTCGGTTTACAAAGACAGCACCGCTTCCCTTTGAACAGATGCGTTTTTGTTTTTATTTTAAGAAATGATTTCCTTAGATATAATGCACGAGAGAAGTCAGGCTGGTTTGGAGACTGGAAGCCGAAGCGGAATGGTTTGTATTAGGTGTGGGTTTTTGTTTCTTTTTTTTAAAAAAGCCAACGGCTTTTCTTTTCTTTTCGAAGAAGAAAAAGGGGGAGGAAAGAGAGAAAGGGGATTTCTGAAGCTTTGAATTTTTCTTTCTGCTTAAGAAAGATGGATAGAAAGGAGGGAGGGGAGAGGAAGGAGGGGGGGAGGAGGCGAAGTGGGGAGGGAATCCAGAGAGATCCCTCCGACTGTCTTTGTGATTTTTTTTTTCCTGTGGCCTGGGAGGGAAAAACAGGCTGGGAAAATAGGAGAGGAAGAAGGGAGAGGGTAGGATAGGATAGGAGAGGGGGGGGGAGAGAGAGCGAGCGAGAGAGCGCCAGCCTCCCGTTGCACCAGCGCAGCTGGTTGGCCAGAGCGAGCTGGGCGCTCGCTCGAGACGCTGCGCTCCCTTCGCCTCAACGCACTTGGTTAGAGACGCGCAGGGCTCCGTCTTCCTCAGCCGAGCTCGCTCTTTCCCGGCCTTAAAGAAGCGAACCTGCTCTTTAGGGGCTTCCTCCGCCATCGCTCCTACCCCGAACTTTCCCCTCCCAGCTCTCTTTCCGGGAATCTGTAAGCGTCCAGGGAGAGGACGGGGTTCTCGGCTGCGTGGAAGAGGAGGCGAGGACCCTTCTCATTCCTGAAGGCATCGCCCGGAGGGACTCCTCCTCTGCGCGCTACCAGGAGTTGTGTCCGGGAGGCAGAGAAGGGACTGGACGGGTTTTCTTTCTTTGAGGGGAGGGGGAGAAGTAGGGGAAGGGGTCTTTCTCCCCCCCCCTTCGTCCTCTCTCGCCCTTCACATCATTTCATTGATGCTGCCTTGAGGAAAGGCTCGGTTTTTATTGCATTTGGAGCGGCGAGAATACGGCAAGGAGATGGCAATGGTGGCGGCGGCGGCGGCGGCGGCAATGCTGCGTCCAGGCTGAGGGCTTTGTGAGTGAGATGCGGTGACTGCCCGGATCCGGGCAAAGCTAGAAGGTAACCAGGGCTGTTCTCGCGCTCCGGGTGCGCGATCGTGGGGGGTGGGGGCGCCCGAGGCTCAGAGAAGAGATTCGGACCTCTCGGTGTGTGGGTGACATACACACACGCACACACTGAGAGAGAGAGGGGGGGAAGGAGGGAGAGAGAGAGAAGCGAGCCAGAAAACAAGGCCCCAGCAAGACAGCTGGGAGATGGTGTTTTGCTTTGAGGGGGAGAGATCTTCCAGTTAGTCCCTCGATCTTGCAGAGGGGGTGGCGATCCAGTTTACAGGCACCTTGGGGTGTGTGTGTGTGTGTGTGTGGAGCGGTGCACCCCCCCCTTTCCATTTCATTCCTTCCCCGAAGCGCCTGGCCGAGCAGTTGCGGTTCCCTGCTCGGCTCGAGCCGGCTGGCTGCATTTTTCATCCAGCCGCGGCCTGGTTCTGTCAAGGCGGATTGCCTCTCTGCAACTCTCGGAGGGAGAAGGAAGAGGGTCTCATTCATATTTCTCTCTCTCCCCCCCCCCGGTCTCTCTCTACCCGCCCGCGCCCCCCCGCCCGCACCGCCAGCCTTCTTGGCCCAACTCTTCCACGAGAAAACCTTCTGTGCCGATTCCGAGAGCGATTTAAGGTTAGAAGAGGCGTTCCTCTCGCGCTTGTTTTGTTCACACACGCCTGATACGTTGCCACGTTTGTCTCTCCCAGTGCCCGGAGCTGGAGGGGGGATTTTAGAGGAAATTACAGAAAATGAACAGGCAGTGATTTTGAGTCATTTGGCACCCTCCTCTCCGAGTCTAGAAATCTCTGAGGACCCTTCCTCTAATCTAGCCTCAGGCCAGCAGTTCAGTGAATTCAGTCTGACCTTGCTTTCTACCTCTGAATCACTTGCCTCCCGCTAACCACACTTGGAACTTTAGCGTTTCCAAGGTGAGGTAGAGCAGCGCCTCTGTTTCTCTGGAGCTGGGGCGCGAGCACGTCCCTTGTAATGATTCCTGCAGTCCAATTTTACCGTTGTTTATTCGGAAGTAAACCCGATAGACTTCCATGACTTTAACTCACAAAACAGCCTGCCTAGGTTCAGCGGTTTGAAACTGGATGATGTTGTTGTTTTTCCTATAAATCCCCCGCGAATTTAAAGCTATTTTCACACTGGGGCTAAATTCTCCTTTAAAGAAATTTTCTTAAATGCTGGTGAAAGGAGCTGATATATTAATTATTTTTAAAAACGAACACAAAACGCTCGTTCTGGTTTCTCTACAATTCGCGGGCTTTGTTTTGTTAAAGATGTAGGCGCGGGGAAACAGGGCAGTTGAATTATTTTAAATAGCCAGTCTATGCTGTAATATTCTGGAAACCAGATTCAACATATGATATTTCCCCCCTTTATTTCTTTAAAACTAGAATGCTCTGCTCCCTTGAGTTGTACTAGCATCCCAACTTGAACTAATAGGAAATATTTCCCGTACATTTCAATTATTTTTCTTCTTCAAGCGGCTGTATTTTTAAAAGGCTGTAAACCCTTTTGATTTCGGTGGACATTTCTTAGAAAATGGACTAAAGATTTAACCGAGGAGGGAAAAGCAGCAATGAAAAGTTAGGGGCCTATAGGTTCTAATCACTGATTCATTCGAAGACAAGACGCTTTGTGTTTCAGTTAGGTTTACTTCTAAGTAAGTAAGTGGGATCCGGACTGCAATTCTAGATACATGCTTAGCTGGGAGTAAGTTCTATTGAATTTAGTGGGGCTTGCTTTGGAGTAGAGATTTTTGTAGAGACCAGCTTGCACCGAGAGTCTTCCATTTCATTCCCGGTTACCTGGAAGGAAGCGCCAAGGAAATATCTTCTAAGTAAAATACATATATTAGGGTGTTGGTATGAGAAACTGATTTTTGATTTGCTGGAATTCCCTTCCTTCGTTATTTCTTACTGAACTTTAGGAGATGGCCTTTTTAAAAACAAAACAAAAACACGAATATTCCTCAAGACCAAAGCCGGAGGTGCATTTAATAAACGAGAACATATATGAAAATTATATAATTTCTCCTAAAAGTAAAGACAAGGCCTTGTCGTCGTCGTCATCATCATCATCAAGCAATGGCCATTTTCTACGTGGCTTGCTATAGAGCAAATTGTACAGCCTCTAATTTTCTCATTTTATCAGAGGAAATATCCCTCTTTTCTTTGGGGGCAAAAAAGAAAGTCCACATTATTCAGTTCACATGGGTCCAGTCGTTGGCTCTTTTTAAACCTGCGAAGTATGTCGGGTTTTCATGAGGGATCTCTCCCCCTCCACCAATATACCAGCATATTCAGTTATAGATACGTACTGCTTTGTTTGGACGCAGAAATGAAAAACCACGGGGGGGGGGCATGGATCGCTAATTGGCCTTTGCTGGAAAAGTGCTTCCCACTTTGGCGGTGCTGGTGGGGGGGGGCTATTTTATCAAGGAAATCTTGCCTGGGCCTTTTCGACATGAAATATTTCTGGGCCTTTTCTATATGAAATTGACAAACGCCTTCCAACGGAAGTCCATTGCTACGCTTCCTCCGCGACTCGACGTCTAAGGTCAATACCACTTTCTCTGTTGACCTCGCTGTCTCTGTGTGTACATAAATGTGTGCGCACGAATCTTTCTCTTTGTTTTACGCACGGGTATATATACATATGCTTGCTTTAGGAGTACATGCAGAATATACATGTGTACACACGGAAGGTGCATATGCGTACATACCCATGCTTGTACGTGTACATGTGTAATATTTTGGTTACTGTAGAATCTGTGTGTGTACCCAGATGTATGTATATGTATGTCTCTGTGTGCATATATTTGTGTACATATAGAATATGTGTACGTGTGAGTACACTTATGCTTGCGTGTGTGCATGTATATTTTGTGTACGTAAAGAATATGTATTTGTGCGCTAATCAACACACGTGCACACATTGTGCTTCTGCACATATGACACATGTGTGAAGGGGAGGTTAGCAGACACACTGACCCAACAAAACAAGTAGCGCAAGAATGTGTTGCAATCTTGGACATCCTTACAGTCCTTAAGCCCCACAGACTTCTCGGGTCTAGCAGCCCAGCAGCCTGAACCTGTGCAAATTTATTCAGAAATAAATCACATTCACTGGAAGGGGTCTCACTCCCCAGTAAGTATCCACGGGGTTATTGCAACCAAGGAAAGTTTTAAGAAAGCTTCATTGATCCAATATGCACACCCAATATACACAAGGGCTTGTACACATAGACATAGAATGCGATTGCGGTTGTGATGATTCACAGCTCCATTAGCGTATGTACAACATTGTTCCCGGCACCTCACAGCTACGGGGAACAACGCTGAACTTACCCTTTTCTTGAATCTTCTGGAACTTATTTAAAAAACGAAAAACTGAGTCAAGAATTTGTAAGAACCTAGTTAAATCTGATATTGCAAGTTCACTTTATTTCAGGTAGTTTGTAAGTTTTCATGGCACTTTGTAAGTAATTGTCTCTTTCCCACATATTTGATAAATGGTGTAAAATTATTTTTGAACAACTGTGTGAACATTTGTCACCAATGTGCTGTATTAACGGCACAGGGTGCTTTTTTCTACCATTAGCGAATGTGGCATTTTACCTCGTATCATATAAGTTTTAAAAGTGTTTGTGTGTTGGGATGGCCTATGCACGGGAGATTTACGCACAGCACAGACACATTTCTGTCTATCTGTAAGACTGGGAACCAGTCGATGTGAAAAGAAGGGAGACAGCAGGGATCCCCAAACAAGCCTCTCTTCTGGGGCCTGGTCTTTGAAGCGGGGGCAGGCGTAGGCCTTTGAGGAACGCGGGTATAACTGGCCTCGAATTGGCAGCCGTGGACCTTCTCTCTCTCTGCCTATCCGCCCATCCTTCGGTCTCCCTCGCTCCAGGGCAGGGCCGGATTTAGGTTTGATGAGGCCCTAAGCTACTGAAGGCAATGGGGCCCTTTATATGTCCAGCTGTCCTTTGTCAACAACAAATTGTCGCCGTTTTTTGTGTTGAATATATGCTATATTGTAATTTATGGACCTAATAGGCATCTAAAGCCATTCGCACATAACAAAATATGTATTTTATCAAAGTGCATCCAGTTTTTTTCCTTTAAATTTTTGGGGGCCCTCAAGAGAGTGTGGCCCTAAGCTATAGTTTGTTTAGCTTATAAATCCAGCACTGTTGCAGTGGCAAAGAGGGGACGCGACCGTGGGTCTCTTCTCGTTCTCTCCACCACCGCCAAGACTCACCACTCTCCTCTCTCTCTCTCTCTCTCTCTCTCTCGCTCTCGCTCTCGCTCTCGCTCTCTCGCTCTTGTACAGGAGTGGGGCGGGGGGGCTCAGCAGCCTAGAACATGGCGGATGCCGAAGAAGGCTTCGGGCTCCCAGCCACGCCGGTCGACTCAGACACGAAGGAGCTAGCGAGCGACGGGAAGCCGGAGAGTCAGCTGGGCGCCAGCAGCAAGCAACCTTCCTCGCCCCAGGCCGCCTTCACCCAACAGGTAAGCCGCCGCACTGGGCAGAAATGGGGGGAGACAGGGGGTGGGAATGCTAGGGGAAAGTGGGAACTAAAGAGAGACAATCCCATTACGCCTCCTCTGTTCTTTTAATTCATAATAATAATAATAATAATGGGGTTGTGTATCCAAGGACAGTCCTACTCAGAGTAAGCCCATTAAAATCAGTAAATATGACCACTTCATTAGGTCTTCTTTGAGTAGGGCTAAGGTTTGATGAATGATCATAACAGGTTAGGTTGCAGTCGTAACCCCACTTACCTGGGAGTAGGCCCCATTTAATTCAAATGAGTTACTTCTGAGTAGACGTGGTTAAAACTGCGCTGAAAGGTAGTTTCATTTCATTTATTATTCAGTGTCAATCCCACCTGTAAGGTTACAGTTGGAGAAAGATAATACAATGGAATAAGACAAATATAAACACCTGCACCCCAAAAATCACATACAATGATATATATATTTGGAGAGATGGAGTCTGGAATGCGCTGATTCTGCTATGCAGAAAGGCTCGCACGGCTATTGACTGAGGGAGACCGTCCTTCGCAAGCAGGAAAATTTGGGGGTACCGTTAAAGGACGGGAAAAATATTCGTATTTGTAATGCCCATTCGGATTGATTTCCTGGCTCCCGCCTCAAATACCGTTTGTAGCAGACCTGGTTATGTAAGTCAGCCGGGCAGTCCGCGTCAATCGATCTCGGAATAAACTGCCACCGCCAGATACTTGCTCACAACCACAATAACCAAGGTCGCTTTGGATAGATTGCGCGGGCAGTAAAATGCAAATACATACGCAGGCGCGCTGCGTCCCACTCTTTCCTCACTGCGAGGGCGGCGTAAAGGCCGCAGAAAAGGAAGTCGAAAGGGAACTGGGAACGAACCCGGTTTAAATGATCGTGAGGACGCTCCCCGAGATATACGTGTGTGGCGCTCGCACCGGCGAGATCCGCACGCGAATAAAGAATTAAGTACATTTATTTGCACCCAAACACCAGAGGTTGGAAGGAGAGATGTTTAGAAAATAAAAAAAAATTAAAAGTTCGCGTGTGTAGGGAGTGGCTGAGCGTGCAATACATTTACGACCGCGAGGTTTCCAGCCTTGATCCTTCGGGCTGGGTCTTTCTCTCGTCGTCCCAACATCTGGTTTCTCGAAACCGATCCTCCCTCTCCCTCCAGCCCATTACTGCATATATATGTGCAGTATGCTCTTGGCTTGGCCAGGAGGACTTGAAATCTACCCTTGCTACGGCTGCTTCTAGCGAGTTGCTTCGCTGCCGTTTGTGAGGGGAGCGAGTCTTTGGTTTAGGATCTTTAAAAAAAACACGCATCCGGATCACGACGCAGAAGCGACCCCCGCGAAATGGGGGTGTGCTCTTTTATTTATATTTAGGTTATTTTGTTTTTTAAAAAACGATTTCTCTTTTAGGCATCACAAAACTGGGAAATCAGCATGGCTGCCTCATTCTCATTCTCTCCCTCCCTTCCACGTTATACATTTTAAAGCATGTCCCTCCTCTCCCAAAGGGAATTGTAGTTCACTCACTCGCAGACCTACAGGTCTCAGAACCCACAACAAACTACAGCTCCCAGGATTCTTTGGAGGGGAGTGTGCTTTAAATGTACAGTGGCCTAATCTTTTAGGTCAAAGCAAGCCTCGTTAAGTACCATGGATGGCGCCCACCCCATTCCTACCGTGTTCAGTAGGGCTTACTCGTAGGTAAATGCGCGTATGCGGAGTCCCCGTGTTTACAAGTTACTGGCCAGTTTTTAAACACAAAAATTATGGGAGGGAAGGAGACTGGAAAGATTTCTGTGTAAACGGCATTGAGAACTTTTGCTGTTGGAAAAGTTCTGTATAGTACTGTATAAACATATTCCAAATAAAGAAATGACCCCGGTCGAGGTTCTAGGCACTTTTAAGGAGCGATCCTATCAGGAGTTCGGTGGGGCTTACTCGAGATCAAGTGGGTGTAGGATTGCAGCCTTTCTCAAGCGTTCGCCTCCTCGAACTAGTTTGGACTTACTTCTGAATAAATATGCGTAGGATCGCATTGTCGAGCTCTCCCGGCTTGTGATAGGGAATAAGCCAACGTTCCATTTGTCGAAACTATCCATCAGCACGAAGCTGCAACGGTCCAATCGATTAATCAACTAAAGTGTAGGTTGATTAATCTGCTATTAATCGGCCGGGTCAAATTTTGAACGGTGGGCTTGAGAGCTAAGGGGAACCCTATCCCCTTCTCTCTTTTTTGGGAGGTCCAGTGTGCCAGGGAAACAAGGCTGATGGGCCAGGGGGCGGGGAAGACACTCCTCCAGAGCAATGCATGCAGGCACGCTCAGAAGTAAATCCCATTGATTCCAATGGGCCTCATAGGATTGCAGTTTTCGAGTTGAACTTTTGCTTCCTAAATGTTACATTTAACCCCCACCTTCGGTAAATCCCCAAATGCATTTCCGCTGTACCCCTCGGAAATGAGGAACCCAGGAGCGGCGCAGTCCTTTTGCACACTTACTAGGGAGTAAGTCCAGTTGAACAAAGAAAGTTTCTCCCGAGTAAACAGGGCTGCGGTCCTAGGCACTGGGTGGGATTCTCCTCTCTGTTGCTTTCCGCGGGCTTAGGCGTGCTCAGCTTTCAACAGGATCACAATTTTTCAGCAAGGCAATCCTAAATGTGACTACTCAGAAGGAAAACCCCATTGAATTTAATGGGACTTATTCCCACGGATATGTGCATAGGAGTGTAGTTTAATGGTGTTTTCAATTAAACTGCCTTGGAACCGTCTGGTGAAGGGCGGGTAAGGAAAGACAGACAAACTGGTTGAACACTGCCCTTAATGACTCGGACATATTATTATAATTATCCTTATTTTTTGGGTAGAGATGCAGATATGTAGATGAAGCTGTATCTGGGTAATGGAAATAATAAAATAGCGTGGATGATTATGACAACAGGCGTGTACGTACATAAGAAAGCCGCGGAGGCGAGTGCGTATTTGCGCATTTGGACGTCTCAACCCAATGCACTTTCAACTTGACCTCCACTGGGTTGGCCTCGTTTCCCAGAACCTGAACCAGAAACGCAGTAGGATAGGAACCGCGCCTTTGTGCCATGTAATCTCAGAGCCAGTGTGGGGTAGCGGTTAGAGCGTTGGACCAGGACCTGGGAGACGCGAGTTCAAATCCCCCGCTCAGCCCTGTGATGTTCACTTGGGTGACCTTGGGCGCAGCAGCCCGACGTACCTCACAGGGTTGCTGTGGGGAAAAAATGTGGAGGGGGGCGGAAATCACGCAGGCCGCACTGAGCTGGGGTGGGGTGGTGGTGAGGGGGAATATAAATGCAACCAATAAAGGAAACTCTGGAAGGACGTAGGGATGGGCCCGTAAGTGACTGCAAGGCAGAGATAACCTCCTTCCCAGGGGTCAGCTTTTCATCCTCCTCCTCCTCACCCCTCCTTTTTCTCTGCTCTCTCTTCCCCCATCCCATCCCGCTGCCTTTTTTCTCAGGAAAACCTTCCTCGCCTCCGATCCTATTATAGCGCCTGCTATTTTGATGCTCTTGGCTCGGAGCCTATCAGGCCGGCTCCTATCAAAAAAGTTCCAATCGGCTCTCATGGCCGCTGGCGCTGGGCAGATCTCCGGCCTGGAGCGGCGAAGCGTCTTTGAACATGAGCCGGACTGTCCCGTCTCTCGCTCATACCCTCCCTCCCTCCCTCCCCTCCCGCCTCGCCATTTCGGGAGATAAAAACCACAAGCCTAGTTTAGGCAAGCCTCTATTCACTGAGAAGGGATAACAGCCGTCGTGGAGTGCAGCCAAGTCCGCTAGCACTCTCTCTTTTTCTCTCTCTCGCTCTGGAGGTCGTTTCACACGTCACACAGTCAGAAACTCGGGTTTGCCACCGAGGAGGTACTCTCAGCAGGAGCCACAGCCAACCCCGTCTCCTGGCCGCGTGTGCCTGGAAGAAGCACGCGTCTCTCCCCCGTTTCCACGTTCACTGTTGGCATTTTAGGAACACCCGTGTAACCCGAGCCTATGCGTATACTAGGGAACAAGCCACCTTGAAACCTGTGGGATTTGCTCCCAAATCAATCGAAGTTTATCATCATCATCATCAGTAAAGCGGTGGGGGGTATACACTTAAAAAGGTGTGGCGTGAAAAAGACATGCCATCAGCTATTGATGGGCGCGGGAATAAACACCCTTGATATCCCCGTGATTTGGGGAACGGGTACGTCACATTGCCTGCTGAAGATCCCGGGTTCGATTCTCAGCCTCTCCAGATAGGGACTGGGATGTCTCCTGCCTGGAAACCTAGATACTGTATCTGCTTCTAGTCAGGGTAGACAACACTGAGATAGATGGACTGCTGGTCTGATTCAGTCTAAGGCGCCTTCCCGCGTTCTCACCTGCCCCTGCTGCATAATGATTTGCCTGTTGCCATTTGCTCTCCTTTCCAGGGCATGGAGGGAATCAAAGTGTTCTTACACGAGCGAGAATTATGGCTCAAATTTCATGACGTGGGGACCGAAATGATTATAACCAAAGCTGGAAGGTAAGAATCCAGATATTTCTCTTTTTGGGGGATCAGAATGTGGGTGATGGAGCTGGTGGGGAAAGACTCATTATCACTAGATGTGTGCGTGTGTCATGTGCGTAGCCAATATTTTTTTTTGGGGGGGGCAGACTTTATAATGGTGGGTGGGGTGGTAGAAGCGAGTTATTTGCGATGCAGTTGGTCATTTAGTTAAGTATTTTTATTTATTAACTTGACGCCCATGGTGTGTATTTTAAATTTATTCTCTATATCCCCTTGCCTTTGTGGTTTTCCACCGAGGTTGCGTATTGTAGTCTTACCACAATGTTGTAAGCCGCCTCGAGGGTTTTTCTTTTGGTCAAAAGGCGGGGTATGGATATTTTTTAGGTAAGTTAATGGCTCTGTGGAGAAATAAATAAATGAAATTTCGGCCTGCTTCCCTAAAAGACGAAGAAACACGATTCATTTGCAGGGCTGTGTGTGTCCTCGGAGGGAGGGGGAGTTCCTTTGCGAACCCCATTGAAATGAAAAGAAGCATTTCCGGGTGCGTTATAGGAGCCCGGACGTGCCTTGAAGGTTTCTGCCCAGTGAAAAATACGCAGGATCTGATGTCGCATAAAATGCAATATCAGGAGTGACAGCGGAGCTCTCGGAATAGATTTCCTTGCAGGAATATTTCGAAGAATTGATCTTAAGGTTTGTGGATGCGATAATTAGGGCGATGCGAGCACTATATAGAAGGCAGGCGAGTTTGGCCAACGTCAAGCACATCTTGGGTTGCAATGCCTGGCCCGTTTACTTGGGAGTAAGTCCTAATGAACGTAGTGAGGTTGACTTCTGAGTAGACGGGCGTGCATAGAACAGACTGGGGCTGGAGAGTTCTGTTCTGGAAAGTGTTTGGCTTTGATCCACGGGTGGTGGGGGGGAAATGAGAAGTTTTGTTTCTCCTGAGATTGTCCCCCCCACCCTTTTAAAACAAGTTTAGGTGCTGCAGCAACTCTTCCAGTTATTTTCGCAGGGTAACCATTGCAATAATCGAGACAAAATGAAACCATTTAAAGGCCCACCACTTTCGGTGGCACGATCCTGACCATGTCAATTCAGAAGTACGTCCTACTCAGAGTAGATCCACAGAAATGAATAAACTTAGGTTAGTCATTTCCCTCTGAATAGGACTTAGTGTTTCAACCCAAAGTGTTTCCCCTTTTCTTAATGTGTTTGTGTGTGTGCCATAAAAGCATAAACAACTTCACTCAAGCTTGCTCTGGTTTTGTTAATTAGTTATTTATGTTGGGACAGGTGAATGTTTGAAATTAGCACAGTGAATAATATGTATACCATTAGACGGCGATTCTGCGCGCAATTACTTGCGAGTAAGTTCCACAAAACTTCCGAGTAAACATGCATAGGATCGTACTACGGGGTTCCATTGCGCTTCTCAGTTTTGCGCGCGCGTTATAGACAGATTAAGAGATTTGGCATGTTTTCATTATATATATATATATATATATATGCGCAAATCTAGACCCAATGACATCAAAACAATCAGATCTGAACAGGGTCCTTCATAAACTATTTGGCCTCCTCACCTCTATATTTATCATGGTATAACTTGGAAGCGCTATCGCTACCTCTCTGTGTTGAGGGAAAAAACTGTGTTCTGATCCCGCCTCCAATTATGGTGTTCCCAAAACACTCTCCACCACAAGCGCCGGAGGTTATGCTTTAAGGTTCAGTTTTAACTCCAGCTTAGAAATTAGTCCTGTTGAAATGAATGGCAGGGTCTGACTGGAAGATTCTGCGTTTGAGGAGTTTAGGATTTGCTGCAATTTATTCTCTGTTTCCGTTTCAGAACACAATGTTGTTTCTCCCCCCCCCCTTGTAATATTATATTATATTATATTATATTATATTATATTATATTATATTATATTATATTATATTATATTATATTATATTATATTATATTATATTATATTATTATATTATATTATATTATATTATATTATATTATATTATATTATATTATTAATCTAAGTCTGCTATAAGAATGCTTTAGAATTAAGACGGTTACTAGCCACCCTGGCTATGTTGTACCTCCACCGCTAGAGGCAGTATGCTCCAGGTACTACCGTAGTTTCTGGAAACGATAGGCAGGGAGAGTATTGTTGCACTCAGATCCTGCATGTAAGCTCACCATGGGCGTCTGGCTGTATCCCCCCCAGTTATAATTTATTAAATTTTCAAAAAAATCACATATACATCCCAATACATCATATTTTTTTCTGTTGTTTTGTCGACTTCCCACCCCATTTTCCATTATGTTTTTTTATTGCTCCCCCTTGCTGCACCCTATCAACTCTCTCTTATAACAACAACGCAATAATCTTTAATTCCTTCTGTTGCTCATAGTTCAAATCCTGCTTGCAAATTCATCATACTATAATATTTCTTTAAATAGTCCGAAAAAGGCTTCCATCCTTCCACAAAACAGTCATCATTAGATTCTCTTATTTTAGCTGTTAACTTTGCCAATTCCATGTTGTCCATCACTTTACTTATCCATTCTTCTTGGGCGGGAACTTTTTCCTTCCAAATTTGTGCATAGAGGATCCTGGCTGCTGCTGGTTGTATTTTTTATGTTGTGAACTGCCCTGTGATCTTTGGATGAAGAGCAGTATGCAATTTTAATACATAAATAAAACAATAGATGGGCCATTGCTTGATCCACTAGGATTCTTCATACATTCTTACGTATAAGCATTCATTAGCGAATGGAGCATTGATTAGTTCACATCTGTTGCATCAGCCGCAGGAAGAAGAAGAGAGCAAAGTTCTGCTGCAGTTTTGATGACACTGCTGCCACTCACTTCTAAGTTTTGAGGATGCAAAGAACTGCTTAGTGGCACAAACAGTTTGTCTTAGCAAACAGGATTTTCAGGCACCCCTCCCTGCTTTTTATACACAATGACTGCCACCGGTTCCCCACTGCCTTAGCATGTCCATTTAAATTTCCATCTCAAAAGCAGTTCAGGAACATAGGAAGTGGTCCTCTATTGAATCAAACTCTTGGTCCACCAAGCTCTGTATTTTCTACATGGGTAGGAAATGATTCAATTCAAGATGTCAGGTGGGGGACATTCCAGATCCTACCTGGAGATGCTGGGGATTGAACCTGGGACCTTTTGGATGCAAGGTAAATGCTGTACCACTAAGCTACAGTCCTTATCCATGTGGGCTGCACCATGTGGTGCAGTGTATATGCCTTTGTGGAGGAGAAGCAGAGTCCAAGGAACTCTTATACCTGTCTACCTGGAAGTAAATCTGATTTGGTTCAGTTGGACTCACTTCCAGGTACAGGATTGCAGCCTTTAGCGAGTGAAGAGTGAATTAACCTATGTAAATGTCCTAGGGATGCTGGTGGCGCTGTGGGTTAAACCACAGAGCCTAGGACTTGCCAATCAGAAGGTTGGCGGTCCAAATCTCTGTGATGGGGTGGGCTCCCATTGCTTGGTCCCTGCTCCTGCCAACCTAGCAGTTCGAAAGCACATCAAAGTGCAAGTAGATAAATAGGTACCGCTCCAGCAGGAAGGTAAACGGCGTTTCCATGCACTGCTCTGGTTCGTCAGAAGTGGCTTAGTCATGCTGGCCACATGACCTGGAAGCTGTATGCCGGCTCCCTCGGCCAATAAAGTGAGATGAGCACTGCAACCCCAGAGTTGGCCACGACTGGACCTAATGGTCAGGGGTCCCTTTACCTTAAATGTCCTAAGTGTGTACCAGTCTTTAACTGTAGTCAATCAACAAGTGTTGATGGTCAGGAGAACTCCTTTGTTAGTTGACACCTGAGGGGGTTAATCATTAGTATTTCAAAGCATCAAAAGAACTGACCATTAGAATGCAATAATAATAAAGGAATAAAGGAGGCTTAGTGTTTAGGAGCAGCAGAATGAGGAGATGCCTTAGACTGGAGTGCTGCACTGCGGTGGGGAGAAAACCGCTCTTGAGATGACCATGCTGTAAGATCTGGACTCCCTCCATGCAGACTAAAGGAGTAAATATGTGAATATATAGTATTTCTTAAAGCTGTGACAGTCTCTGTCATGTCTTCAATTCTCCAAAGGAGCCCAATGGGCTCTTGCCTCTGCTTGGCAGAGAGAGGGGCAGGCACCCAACTTTTGTAAACAATATAAACATAACTGTTAATCTCGGGGTCGTGGGTCCCACATTGGGTGAAAGATTCTTGCATTGTAGGGGGTTGAACTAGTTGACCCCTGTGGTCCCTTCCAACTCTACAAATCTCTGTTTCTGTGAATTTGTTAGTCTTTAATGCTTAACAAGACTTCCACATAGTTTTTTAAAAGTTATTTTTACAGCACTACACTTACAAAATACAATTGCAAATACAATTGCAGAGCAGCTTACAGAAATCAGTAGTAAGACAGGCATGCAATCTGAAAGACACAACACGCAAGGAAAAATGGAGAGAGACGAAGGAAGAAAAAAACAAACAAGCTCCACCAGTAGCTCTTAAAATTCCAGTCCTCCTCCTCCTCCTGCTCCCCAACTGCTAAGGAGGACATCTGTCTAAACCCCTGAGAATTGCTGCCAGTTAGTGTGTTGGAAAAAATGAGCTAGATGGGCCAATGGTCTTACTCATAATAAGGCAGCTTCCTATGTCTTAGGGACATGGGCGTAGCTTAGTGGTAGAGCATCTGCTTTATGTGCAGAAGGTCCCAGGTTCGATCCCTGGGACCTCCTGTAGGTTTAAGGACACCTGCCTGGAACCCTTGAGAGTTGCTGCCAGTCAGTGGGTGTAGATAATGCTGAGCTAGATGACCAATAACCCAACTTGGTAAAAAGCAGTTTCCTGTCCTCCTACCCTTCCTTGTGAGTTGCATTGCCTTGTAAGGACCACCCAGAGACCTTCATGGCTGTGTTGAACACGCTGAACCAGGGATTGGGAAGCTAGGGCTCCAATTCCCATCAAGTCCAGCCAGCATGGCCAGTGGTCATTTTATAGCCCAGCAACATCTTGGAGGCCACAAGCTCCCCACCTCTGATTGCTCTTTGTTCTATTTTGGAAACTGTATGATAGCATTTTGTTTTCACTCGGTTTTGCTTTGGGCTCTTTCAATTACTTTGCGACTTTTACTCGGGATTTAGAAGTGCTGCATTCTGGTTGGAGATTGCTATAGATTACATAGATGCAAGGGTGAGAAATTATTTAAAGGCGTCAGATATTGGATGACTTCTTTTGAAAAAAGAGAGGGAGGAAGCAGAAAGGAGAGATAGGAATCTTAAGCAAATTTATTTGAAGTAAGCCAACCTGGAAGTAGCAGGGTATACTTCTGAGTAAATGCTTAAGATTGCAGCTGTAAGAGAACTTACTGGTGGATCATACCCCTTAATGATAACAGGACCTCATACGAAACGTTTACTTTCTGGTTCTCAATCTTGGTTATACTATGAAAGAATGTAATTGCAATTTGTTCCAGAACAAATGTTTTCAGATCGATGCATCTGTCCGCTAATATTTACATGTCTTTTTCTTTTCTTCTTAGGCGCATGTTCCCCAGCTACAAGGTGAAAGTGACGGGACTCAACCCAAAAACAAAGTACATCCTGTTAATGGATATTGTCCCCTCTGATGACCACAGATACAAATTTGCAGATAATAAATGGTATGCAGCCTAATTCTGTTTTGGAGATAGGGCAAAAACCACGCAACATTAAAGGGTTGAAAACAAAATCTATACAGAGCAAAGCCAAAAGGGGCAATTGCTCTTTGGTGTGGTGTGGGATACCCTGCTCCTTGGGCTAAGAACATTTGTCTGTACATTAAAGCAGAGTTGAGGAAACCACAGGCTGAGGGTGGCCCTTCAGGCCTCTCTATCTGGCCCTTGGAACTCCTCACAGTCCCCACCCATTACTGGCTCTGCATTGCACCTTGAGTGGTTTTCCTTGGCTGGAAGATGTGCTCTCATAATGCCTCTCATTTGCCTGGCTGAAGCATAAAAAGGTAAAGGTAAAGGTACCCCTGCCCATACGGGCCAGTCTTGCCAGACTCTAGGGTTGTGCGCTCATCTCACTCTATAGGCCGGGAGCCAGCGCTGTCCGCAGACACTTCCGGGTCACGTGGCCAGCGTGACGAAGCTGCATCTGGCGAGCCAGCGCAGCACATGGAACACCGTTTACCTTCCCGCTGGTAAGCGGTCCCTATTTATCTACTTGCACCCGAAGGTGCTTTCGAACTGCTAGGTTGGCAGGCACTGGGACGGAACGATGGGAGTGCACCCCGCCGCGGAGATTCGAACCGCCGACCTTTCGATCGGCAAGTCCTAGGCGCTGAGGCTTTAACCCACAGCGCCACCCGCGTCCCTGGAGCATAGAGCAGTACAAAGCGAAACAGTCCAGAATTCAGCCATTTTGCATTGTGTGTAGAGACAGCTCTAAATACTGGGTGGCACACAGCTGAATGACACTGTTGGGTAGGTCTGTACCACTCCAGACTTCAGGTAGGACAATACCATTCTTGTCATCTTTCAAACCCACCAGACTTTGCACATTCAAGAATGTGATTCCTTCAGCAGTAGCATGTAATAGGGGAGTCTGTTCTGTCAGTGGAGGTGAGCCCATTAGGGCAAGTGGGGACAATGCCCCATCAAGCTAAGTCTGTCCTCTGCCAGCCTCCACCTGCCCACCTCCTTACAATCAGCCTCATGGGTAGTGCTGGCTGTCAGCGTCCTCCTCCTTAGTCTCATAAAATTGAGCAGGGAGTATGGTGTGGACAAAACCAGAATGAATTGGCTTTACCTATCATAGACCAGGGGGACGCGGGTGGCGCTGTGGGTTAAACCACAGAGCCTAGGACTTGCCGATCAGAAGGTCGGTGGTTCAAATCCACGCGACAGGGTGAGCTCCCGTTGCTCTGTCCCTGCTCCTGCCAACCTAGCAGTTCGAAAGCACATCAAAGTAGAAGTAGATAAATAGGTACTGCTCCGGTGGGAAGGTAAACGGCATTTCCGTGCACTGCCCTGGTTCACCAGAAGCGGCTTAGTCATGCTGGCCACATGACCTGGAAGCTGTACGCCTGCTCCCTCGGCCAATAAAGCGAGATGAGCACCACAACCCCAGAGTCGGACACGACTGGACCTAATGGTCAGGGGTCCCTTTACCTTTATCATAGACCAGGCATAGGCAAACTTGTCCCTCCAGATGTTTTGGGACTACAATTCCCATCGTCCCTGACCACTGGTCCTGTTAGCTAGGGATGATGGGAGTTGTAGTCCCAAGATATCCGGAGGGCCAAGTTTGCCTAGGCCTGTCATAGACCAATCAGTAACTCCACCAGGCATTTTATCTGGCTCCCTCTACTGTTGGCCTCCATGCCTTCCATCCTACTAGTCCCAATCAGCGGCAGTCTCTACTGCATTCCATGACTTCAAGACTCTACCACCCCCCTCTCTGCTGCACATTATCATTGTCATCTGCAATGTGGTACAGTCTATTGTGCCACTTCCAGACTCTACCACTTTAGCTATTGCAAAATTAATGAAGGGATGGGGCATGTCTGAGGACTAGGACTGGGAGGGAAAAGCCATTCAACAATTCTTCTCTTTCTCTGGGTTTATTCACAATTACATTTTGCCCCACTCTTTCCTGGCACAGATTTGTGCTTAAAAACTCTGTGTCCAAGCAGTTGCTGTTGGTTTTTGCCCTGGAGCTTTCCCTGCAAAAGCTTTAAAAAGCGGGGTTTCATGGGGAAATCTCTGGAGCAAAAAAAAAGGGCACTTGGACACATACCTTTAAAGCATGGGCCATGCCTGGAAAGAATGGAGGAAAGATAAGTGTGGATAAGCTGTTCTTCCCTCCTCTGATTTGCAGCCTTTTCTGATTTTCTAACATAGTTGAGAGAATAAAACAAAACACCAAACCCACTGTGTTGATTTTGGTTAGGTCAGTGACTGGGAAAGCTGAGCCTGCCATGCCGGGAAGATTATATGTGCACCCAGACTCACCAGCCACTGGGGCCCATTGGATGAGGCAGCTGGTCTCCTTCCAAAAGCTCAAGCTGACCAACAACCATCTTGACCCATTTGGCCATGTAAGTACCTGGCAGATTTAATTTCATATTGGCTGATACAGACTGACATTGGAGCTCTCGTCAAAACAAAACAAACTCCAGCTTTTCAATCAGAGCTTAATTGGATCCATACATATACACAATAGGATTTAGCAATCTTAAGCTCCTGCTATACAATATCACGGATGGTTACTCTAAGCACCTGCAGAGTGCCTTTCGTTTGTCACCGAGGAATCGCAGCCACTCCTAGTAACAGGGAAGAGATGGAGAAGCTGCGACCTAGCTGTTGTTAAGACTACAACTCCCATCAGGCCAAGGTAGCGAGATGAAAGGTCAGGGACCATGGGAGTTGTAGTCCAATGACACCCAGAGGGTCACAGGTTTTCCCCATCCCTGGTTTAGGGGTAAAAACTCCTAGGCAGCCTTGCATACCCAACAACTCTTCTTCTCATTTTAGAAAGTAGACATTTTGGGCCATGATCCAATGGCAACAACAGAGAAGGTGCATATAAACTTTCACTTGATTTCACTTTGTGCCAGATTGCAGCCTAGATTATGGGTCAAAACAAAAAAAATTCCTTCCAGTAGCACCTTAAAGACATAGGCGCCGACTCCATGGGGCTTGAGGGGGCCCGAGCCCCCTCAAAAATTCGTTTGGGGGGGCTCTGCCCCCCCAATAATCTCCGGCGCCCCTCCAGCAGAGCGCCATCGCCGCCCCTCCCCCAGCCCAAAATGCACAAGGAGGGTCGGGCTGCATGCCTCCTGCCCTCCCTCCCGAGCAAAAGCTCCACCCAATTTCCTTTGGAGCTGATTAATAGGCGCAGCACGCTCTCCCCTATTCGCTCACGAGGAGGCGGCGCCACTTTATTTGCATATTCATGAGCTTATTTATTATTCATGAGCTTTCCCGGCCCCCCCAATATTTTTTATAAGTCCGCGTCCCTACTTAAAGACCAACTAAGTTAGTTCTTGGTATGAGCTTTCGTGTGCATGCACACTTCTTCAGATACACTGAAACAGAAGTTGCCACATCCTTCTATATAGTTGGCTACCTATCTGTAACTAGATTATGGGTGGATATCCTGTGACCTTCCAGATGCTGATGGTCTAAAACTCTCACCACGCTGGCAGGGACTGATGGGATTTGAAGTCTGACAACATCTGGAGGTCCACAGGCTCTCCACTCCTTGCCAAGATAGATAAATCGATGGAGAGGAAACCCCAATGAATTCTCAGTTGAGTAGCTTGGGTGTTGTGTAAAGGCATGTGCATGTTATGGCTTAGACTGTATACATCCTGTATCTTTAAAGCGCATTTGAAGCACAGTCTCATCCTTAAACAATTCTGGGCTCTATAGTTTACCCCTCGCAGAGTTACAATTACTAGCAACCCTTCATAAACTACGGTGCCCAGAATTCTTTGAGGGGTAAAACATACTTTGAAGCTAGAGTGTATATGCAGCGCTTGCGAAGGAAAACAAGGAAAGAGGGTTTTTTAAACTACCTTTATTTCAGAATTGCAACTAATATTTTTGCTGATGAGGGGGATATGGGTCAAGGAGTGCTCTGTTTGCAAAAAAGGGAAGCATATGCTAACAAGATGTCGTATGTAATAAAGCTGACATTATGCATGTTGTATTATTTATTGGATTTGGAGTTTATAAAATAATGAAGTAGAAATAATGTAGAAAATTATTGTTTTATATGTTCACTTGGTAAGAAAGTCTCTTGATTTGTCTGTGCTTCCACTGCTCTGTTATTCTCTTTCATGTACACCTCTACACATATTGCTTGAAGTCTGATTTCTCAAAGGGGAATAATAGAATCATAGAATTGTAGAGCTGGAAGGGACCATGGGGGTCATCTAGTCCAACCCCTGCAATGTTTGAATCTTTTGCCCAATGTGGGGTTCAGACCCACAACCATGAGATTAAGAGTCTCATGCTTTACCAACTGAGCTATCCCAGAAGCATGTTCTAAGCCTCCAAATGCCCTGGGAATTATTCTTATGCTCAAGCCTCAACCTAGGGATGGGGGTGGGGGTGGGGAGAGAGAAATTGAACTGCACTCTCATTTAAAGGGGAACTGACTTAATTCACCCTTTCTGACATGAGACACAGCCATCCTCCAAAATTTGCACTTTTCTGAAGGTTGAGATGTTCTAGCCAATATTTGCATATCTAGCATATATTTGGGTAAGGTGTATGGAAGAATGCATCATGTTAGTGAAAAATAACATGCAGCAATGCATTACATTTGGGAATGCTGTTTTGCAAAAGTGTGTCTTTTAACCAAAATTGCATACAAACATGTTGTACATTAGGATAAATTCACACAAAAATGCTGATACATTTTCTGACATTAAAAAAAATCTCAAAGTGATGTGGAGAACTGAATTTAAATTAAAAAAAGGAGAGAGACAAACAGAGAAACTGAAATTGACAGATTCACCCACTCCCTACCTAAAACGCAGGTCTCTTCTAATCTCAGATGGGTGAAGGCAGAGGGAGACTGTGATATTTTTCAACAATGAGAGAAAGCTCCTCTGTGTATGATCAGAGACAGCCTGTACTGCATTCTGATCATCCAACCATATACGTATTGATTACTGTCCTTTCCCAGCACTGAAAACAGGTTGCTGTGGACAGAGGCGTAGCAAGGTCAGGTGGTACCCGGTGCAATTTTTTTTTGTCAACCCCCCCATTGCAATTTTTGGGAACGCTGCCCAGAGTTGCTGACCATTTTTTAGGGAGGGTTGGCCATGAAACAGATACAGCGTGGGTGCCAGTGCTGCCCACCGATTGTGAAAATCCAACTGCCTATCGCATAAAACCGCCTGCTGGGGAAGTGTGAATGCCACCCGCTGGGGCTGGGGAGGAAGAAGGCTGACCGCTGGCCATATTTGCATGATCAGCAGCCGTATTTTTGTGATGGTCGCGCCAATCGCGAAAATCCGCCCGCCGGGCGTGGGGGGTTTGTCACCCCCCTAGGCATGACACCCAGGGCGGACCGCACCCCCCTTGCGACACCACTGGCTGTGGAGTTGTGGCCTGTGGAATCACAAAATAACAGAATTGGAAGGGGGCCTCCAAACTAGTACAGTGTTACCTCGGGTTACAGACGCTTCGGGTTACAGACTCCGCTAACCCAGAAATATTACCTCGGGTTAAGAACTTTGCTTCAGGATGAGAACAGAAATCGCGTGGCAGCAGCAGGAGGCCCCATTAGCTAAAGTGGTACCTCAGGTTAAGAGCAGTTTCAGGTTAAGAACGGACCTCCAGAACGAATGGAGTTCTTAACCTGAGGTACCACTGTACTCCAGTCTGGTGCCCTGATTAAGTACAGGACCTGTTATTCAAGATACAGCTGCAGCAGCTCTGACAGCTGGTGGTCCAGCATCTTCTGAAATATCCTCAGCGAAGGAGAGCCCACTGTCTCCTGAGGAGGTCTGTTCCGCTGTGGAACCACTCTTCCTGCTAGGAGACTTCTGCTGATGCTCAGCTAAAATCCCCTGCAGTTCTAGTCTCTCCCTCTAGAGCAGGCTTCCTCAACCTCGGCCCTCCAGATGTTTTGGGACTACAGTTCCCATCATCCCTGACCACTGGTCCTGCTAGCTAGGGATGATGGGAGTTGTAGTCCCAAAACATCTGGAGGGCCGAGGTTGAGGAAGCCTGCTCTAGCGTAACGGAGGGCATTTTTCAATTGAGGTCTACATGCTTTTGCTGCCTACTGTAGACTGACTGCCAGAGCGGCAGCAGCAGAGAGAGAGCATTAATGCTCAAATTCTTTCCACTAAGCTGAGGCTGACAGCTGAAATGCCAAGGGATGGGCGGCTGGGAAGCCTGAGCCAGGAAGGTGTTTAACAGTGAATAAAGTTGGTCTTAATTTGATGGAAGTGTGCTTGATGCATCTTGGTGGCAGCCGCGCCCTGTCAACAGTTGGCTCTAATTGAGCTCCGGCTGCACAAGTGGTGCCTGCAGACACGTGGAGGGGAGATGTGAGATGAAATGGGAGACAGCAGCGCCTTGTAAACAAGGATCTGTACAATGTGCTAACTGATCTAGTAACCTAGATTGAAGTGCAGCCGCCCAGCCCAGGTTACAGTTTGAATTAATCCTCATGCCTCGCTGGACTGACATCACACACACAAATACACACACACACACACACACACAGAGTATTCTAGTCCGGGATTAATTTTAGCGGTGCATGTCTTGGACTTAGCTTCAGAACCTATTTTTGGTGTTAGTCCTTAAGGAGGAATCAGAGCATGTACAGAATGCCTCCTCTGCTCCTCCTCCTCCTCTTTTTTAAGGGTTGCAATCCTAAACTTATTTATGAAAGGATTCAGGTCTATTGTACACAATGGGAATTGTTTCTGTGCAAACATGCATGGGAATGTGTTGTGATTAATTATAACTTGCTTCTAAATTATCTTCGACTAAAGGCAGCATTTTCTAGTTAGTTGTATGCTGTGCCTTCTCTTGTTATAACCTTGAGCAGTGCAATCCTATAATGTCCTTTCAGAAGTCTGACCTACTGCCTGACCCAGGGACTTACGTGCAAGCAAGCAAATGTGTATAGGATTGCAACCTTTTTAAAAACGCTTTGAGGTTTTTGAAGTTTTCCCCTAACAATCAAGCAATGTATAAATCTTATGAAATAAAGAAACAAACCCGAAACATTGAAGAATCTTGTGGCACCTTTAAGACAAATGTATTATAGTATAATAATAATAATAATAATAATAATAATAATAATAATAATAATAATAATAATAAAAAATTTGTTAGCCGTAAACATGTGACAAAACCTTTCATTGGCTTTGCTGCAATAGACAAGGGTGAAATCTACACACATATAAAAAATGTTGTGAAAATGTTGGGTTTTTTAAATTTTTTTGAAAAATATATTGAATTTCCCATAGCTCACTGTTGCCATCAAGTGTCACGTTTGCATATTACAGCACACTTAAAATGTTTTATTTGCAGCTGTATAGCTGAGTCCTAAGACAGCTAGCCCTCTGGAAACAGTTACAACCTTAGCCTTAAACATTTAATAGCTGAATGGCATGTTTGTGTGTGAAAAACTACAGTTAAGGAAGCGTGATCATTTAAAAAAATATTTAGATATCGCTGTCAGTCGGAATAGATTCCAGGGCAGACTGCAAACCTTTACAACTATATCAACTAGACAAAAACACAAACTAGAAACAAGCTGTAGATTCATGATAGAACGAACAGAAATACTTAAATTGCTTGAGGTTTGACTGGGTAGCCACTGCAAATATCTCTCTCTATACGAGGTGTGGGAAACCTGTGACCAGTGGAAGCCAGTCCATTAGGACACATGAAGAACTGCCCCCCCACAGCACCATTCTGCCCTCAGCCACTCTCCATCTGCTTTCCTTGCTGGTTATACCCAGATGAGGCCCAGGGCATGCCTGTCAGCTTCATCTTCCACCTTAAGTCTCAGTGTTGCCTTTGCAGAACTGAGCAGGGAAGAGGATGGGGTCAAAAATGGATTTAGTTGGCTCTGCCTGTTACTGGCTGTGGTGCCACCTACAGGTGGGCTCCTTGTCTTCTGCCCTACCAGTCCCAATGAGCACCAGCCATCACTGCCTGTGGTGTTCTGGATGCCGTTGGAGAACAAATCCCACCAGCCCCAGGCAGCATAGAGTTGTAGCTTGACAATACCTATATCCTCCAACTCTTCTTGAGGACACCACTTCATGTTGTAGGAGAGAGGTTTGACATGTTCAGTGCTTTCATCTCCTGGAGACAAGAACAAAACAACCTTCCAGTGTGGTGTAGTGGTTAAGAGCAGTGGACTCGTAATCTGGTGAACCAGGTTCGCTTCCTCGCTCCTTCACCTGCAGCTGCTGGGTGACCTTGGGCTAGTCATACTTCAAAGAAGTCTCTCAGCCCCACTCACCTCACAGAGTGTTTGTTGTGGGGGAATAAGGGAAAGGAGAATGTTAGTTGCTTTGAGACTCCTTCGGGTAGTGATAAAGCGGGATATCAAATCCAAACTCTTCTTCTTCCCTGCACATAGAAAGCTAGCATGTCCTGGTGAGGGACGTTCTTCCTGGATGTGGCAGTTTTCTTTGTGCAATGAGACTGATAGTTGGCTAAGTTGGCTAAGGGATGCTGGGCGTCCATCAGCTGAAGATCACTGATGTAGTTAATACTAAGCTAGATGGACCAATCGTCTGACACAGTATAAGGCAATTTCATACGATCTTCACTAGGGTGTGAAGCATATTTGAAGAAGGGCCATAGCTCACACGTCTAGCAATTCCTTGGCATGCAGTCTCTTCAACTGGTGGGCTGTGGCCTGATTCAAGGTGGGTCACAGCAGGAGTGCTACCACCCTGCAAGTGTATGGTGAAAGATTAAGAAATTGGTACTCACTGGTGGAGGAAGAGGCGTGCAGGGTTGAAGACTTTGATAATCTTTGGTTTCCCTTTCTGGAATCACATAAGCTGTGATTCCTGCATCGCAGGGGGTTGGACTAGATGACCCCTGAGGGTCCCTTCCAACTCTATGTTCATTTTCTCTCTCCCCCCCCTTCAACTCCTAGCTTAGGCTGTGGTGGGGGATGTGCAAAAGGCTGTTTCTTGAAGAATTTTATATGGGCATGGATAGCTCAGCTTGTTAAAGCATGGTTCTGATAACGCCGAGGTTGCAGGTTCGATCCCCATACGGGACGGCAGCATATTCCTGCATGGCAGGGGGTTGGACTAGATGATCCTCAGGGTCCCTTCCAACTCTACGAATCTATTAGTCTTTCTCCCCCTCCCAACTCTGCGCTCTCTCTCTCTCTCTCTCTCTCTCTCACACACACACACACACACACACACACACAGAGAGAGAGAGACTCCTGGCTTGGGGTGGGGGACGCGCAAAGGGCAATGGGCGCTCCGACTGGGACGCCCCTTCCCACTGGGCCCAACCGTCTCCCTCCCTGCCAAGCGGAGCCCGCGCTCCACAACAATGGGAAGCGGGGAGGCGCGCGGGCGGCCCCCTCAATTAGGAGAGCCGTAATGAAATTAAAAACCATTAGATCGTTCACCGTTGATGTCTGCGGCTCTCCGGGATGTCAGAGCCGATTTGGCTAAACCCCCCGGATGAGAGGGGCTTTGCGAGCAGCCCTGACGTCCCGAGGCCCCTGGCTGGCGCAGGCCCCGCGGGGCAGCCTGCGTCTCCCTGTCGCCAGAATCGACGGCAATCATTGTCAGGAGGGAGGAGGAGGAGAAGGGACGGGCGGGCGGGACCGATACGCTCCCCGTCTCCTCCTCCTCGCCCCTGGAGATTAGGCTTTGGGGAGCGCCGGAGATCTGCGGGACTTGGGTCGGCTTGGAAGGCTGGGGCCGGGTGGGGAGAGGCGCTCGGGAGGTCCTTCCGACGGGCACCCCCCTCCTTCGGCATTCCTTTCAAAGGACAATGGGGAGATGGAGGGGAAGGATGGGAGGAAGAGATGGGGTCAGGCGCCCTGGCGCATTCGTTAACCCCATGCCAAATGCCCATCCTTCGCTCTGGCCTTCGCTCTCCTTTGGTCAATTTCCCCCTGTTCTGTTTTGCATGTGTGAGAGAGAGTTATTGTTGTTACTATTATTTTAACACGGAAGCAAAAAATTGTAAAGCAACTACCTAGGAAGAAAGAAATGAAAACAGAAGCCTTTAGCAAATTGTTGTTGTTTTCGATTTTTTAAATATTGTGTTTCAATATTAATGCTGCATTTTAATTGTTGCAACCCACCCTAGGACCTTAGGCAATAAATAGTAATACTGATGATGATGATGATGATAATAATACTTTTGTTCTGGTTTTTATTATATGTTTTGTGTTATTATCTTGTATTTTTATGCTGTGAACCACCCTGAAATCTGAGGGTGAAGGGTGGAATACAAATTTTTAATAATAATAATAATAATAATAGGTTATATCTAATGTTGGTCCTGCTCTGAAATTAACGGAATGAATGACTAACTTAGGTTTATTAATTCCAGTGGCTCCAGCTGAGTAGAACTTAAACTGAATACAACACAGTGTAGAAGAAGAATAATACAAGCAACCACAAGCATGTATTCTGATCCAGTTACATACCAGGAGACAAAGATAAACAGAAGCCTTTAGGACATATATTTATGTATTACTCAGACATATTCACAAGCAAACACTTTGATGCAACAATGTACCAAGAAAGAAACGAAAGCAAGGATTTAGGAATCCCCTTAAAGTAAATGCCTGTAGATGGTATTCAGTGCCAATCTTACTCAGAGTAGACTCATTCAGGTTAGTGGACATGGCTGGTTTAGGCTCATTAATTTTGATGGATTTACTCAGAATAGGACTTAGTTGAATACAATCCTGGGTAAACAGGAGTGATTTCAGACTCCATTGCCTGATGATGTCAATGGGAGTTGCTAACTAGTTACTACTTAGGCAAGTATTTACTATTATTTATTTGTTTCTTTACTCATACAAATGGCCCAGAGCAACTCATGAACACCATAACAGTGGTTCCCAAATTGCACCGCCCCCCACAAACCACTTGAAGATTTCCTAGGGTCTTAGCAGACTGCTTGATGATTTTTCTGCCTGTTCTAGCAATTGTGCTAGATGCTGTATGGCTTTTAATTTCATCTTAGTTGTTTCTTATAAATTATATTTTGATTTTACTACACTAGGAATCCCACAGAACTCCAACTGTAACACAATACAGGAAAGAAAAGAGCCAATCAAAATGCAATTAAAAACCACTGTGATTATTTTTTTAACTGGGAAGACATGCTGTCTCCCATTTTCTGCTATGAATCCAGGCAGACCCTCTGAATGATAGCTGGTTATTTATGTTTTTATACTGTATTTATGCTGCTTCTACAATTAAGTGTTTTAAATTTGTTGTTAGCTGCCCTGAGCCCGGTTTTTGAACCGGGAAGGGTGGGGTATAAGTAAAAATTTATTATTATTACTAGGCATGGCTATGCTCTGCCTCCACAATACCAGTTGCTGGAAACTGTGGAAGGGGGGAAATAATAGAACTGTAGAGTTGGAAGGGACCCTGAGGATCATCTAGTCCAACCCCTTGCAATGCAGGAATATGCAGCTGTCCTGTATGGGGATCGAACCTCCAACCCTTGCGTTATCAGCACCATTCTCTAACCAGCTGAGCTATCTTGCTTACTGGTTTCCCACAGGCATGTGGTTGGCCTCTATGGCAACAGGATGCTGGGCTATATGGGCCATTGGCCTCACCCAGCAGGTTCTTCTTATGTTCTTACAATGTCTCCTCCTCCTCCCCTTCTAGATCATCCTCAACTCCATGCACAAATACCAGCCCAGACTCCATATCGTCAAGGCGGATGAGAACAATGGGTTTGGCTCAAAAAACACAGCCTTCTGCACCCACGTCTTTCCAGAGACGGCCTTTATCGCTGTGACGTCCTACCAGAATCACAAGGTAAATGATGGTGCCTTTGGAAATAGTAAAGGTAAAGGTACCCCTGCCCGTACGGGCCATTCTTGACAAACTCTAGGGTTGTGCGCCCATCTCACTCAAGAGGCCGGGTGCCAGCGCTGTCTGGAGACACTTCCGGGTCACGTGGCCAGCGTGACAAGCTGCATCTGGCGAGCCAGAGCCGCACACGGAAACGCCATTTACCTTCCCGCTGGTAAGCGGTCCCTATTTATCTACTTGCACCCGGGGGTGCTTTCGAACTGCTAGGTTGGCAGGCGCTGGGACCAAACAACGGGAGCGCACCCCGCCGCGGGGATTCGAACCGCCGACCTTTCGATCGGCAAGCCCTAGGCACTGAGGCTTTTACCCACAGCGCCACCCGCGTCCCTTTGGAAATATCTTCTTGGAAATTGGAGCATGGCTGAGGCAGAGTCCAGCATCCTCTTCTCATGATGGCCAACCAGATACCCCAATGGGAAGCCCAAGCAGGACCCAAGCCCAAGAGCATGCTTCCTTGCTGTGATTTCCAGCAACTGCTATTCAGAAGCATTACTTTCTCCATCTGTGGAGCAGAGCATAATCATCATGGCCATCAGTATCCTTGCCCTTCATAATTTTTTCTGCCTTGAATGTTCCAGCATTCAGCTTCAGCGAATGCCCATGACTGCACATTCTCACGATATGTGATGCTGCAATGCATGATTGTTTTTGTTTTAATAAGGCTTCCTTTTTGTTTTTAGGACAATCTCTTTGGCCCAGGTGATGGATTGTCATCATCATCATTTTTTATTATTTGTACCCCGCCCATCTGGCCGGGCCTCCCCAGCCACTCTGGGTGGCTTCCAACAAAGATTAAAAATACATTAAAATGTCACACGTTAAAAACTTCCCTGAAGAGGGCTGCCTTCAGATGTTTTCTAAATCTCAGGTAGTAGTTTATCCCTTTGACATCTGATGAGAGGGTATTCCACAGGGCAGGTGCCACTACCGAGAAGGCCCTCTGCCTGGTTCCCTGTAGCTTTGCTTCTCACAGTGAGGGAACTGCCAGAAGGCACTGGACCTCAGTGTCTGGGCAGAACAATGGGGGTGGAGATGCTCCTTCAGATATACTGGGCCGAGGCCGTTTAGGGCTTTAAAGGTCAGCACCAACACTTTGAATTGTGCTCGGAAATGTACTGGGAGCCAACGTAGGTCTTTCAGGACCGGTGTTATATGGTCTTGGTGGCCGCTCCCAGTCACTAGTCTAGCTGCGGCATTCTGGATTAGTTGTAGTTTCTGGGTCACCTTCAAAGGTAGCCCCACGTACAGCGCATTGCAGTAGTCCAAGAATGAAGAAAGCCCCACCCCCCAACTATCCTCTTTCTGCTTTCTCTTTTCAGATCACCCAGCTCAAGATCGAAAACAACCCCTTTGCGAAAGGATTTCGAGGCAGCGATGATATGGAGCTTCATAGAATGTCGAGGATGCAAAGGTAAACATTTTCACAGTGTATAATGAGCTGGGAACCCTAGTCAGCCTGAGGTCACATTGCTCCCTGAGCCAGCTTCTGAGGGTCACATGTCTGTGGTGGGTTGGGCCAGAGGGAAAAGGGGGCAGAGCCAATAGGTTAGGGCAGTGCTTCTTTTCTAAAAAAAATGTTTAAGGGTACTCTCATTTTCCTACACATATTGAAATGCTGCCCCTCAATGAGGCCAAACTTAGATTCACAAAAGAAGAAGAAAAGCACTGGATTAGGGTCCACCCACACTTCTGCTTGTCCCATGCCTAGAAGGCACTGGTCTGGAAAACCCCTCTTTAGTGCTAAATTGGTGCGAACCCAAGTTGCCCTTTGCTCTGATTGACCACTAAAGAGTCGTTTCCACTGAGTGAAAGCAGAGGGACAAGAGGAATTCTGGACAAGCCCTTAGCTTCTACAGATGCTATATCTTGCATCTAGGAAAGCAAGAGGCATTGTTGGAGTGGAAGGATGCATCCCAGCCAGACAAACACATTTGCTGGAAAGATCCTGCTGGATCAGATCAGTGGCCCACCTGGTCCAGCATCCTGTTCTCAAAGCCAGTAGCCATTGACAGCCTGATCTTCCATGAGGTTGTTTCTTTCTCTTTCAAAGACATCCAAGGTGGCAGTCATCATTGCTACCTCTTGCGGAAGTGAGTTCCATAGTTCGACTATGCACTGCAATGGAAGTCCTCTGTTGTACAGTGGTACCTCAGGATAAGAACTAAATTCGTTCTGGAGGTCCGTTCTTAACCTGAAACTCTTCTTAACCTGAGGTACCACTTTAGCTAATGGGGCCTCCAGCTGCTGCCGTACTGCCAGAGCACAATTTCTGTTCTCATCCTGAAGCAAAGTTCTTAACCCGAGGTACTATTTCTGGGTTAGCGGAGTCTGTAACCTGAAGCGTCTGTAACCTGAAGCGTCTGTAACCCGAGGTATCACTGTATCTGTCCTGAATCTTTCAACGTTCAGCTTCATTTGAATGTCTGTGTTCTCATGGTATGAGAGAGGGAGAAAAAAACTTTCCTCTGTCTGCTTTCTCCATGCCATGCACAATTCTATCATGTCGCCTCTTTCTTGCCTTCTCTCTAAACTGAAAAGTCCCCAATGCCGTGGCCTTTCTTCAAAGGGTGCCACTAGATCCCCTTGATCATTTGGAAGAATATCCCTTCGATAGTCAACTAAGTTTCATTTTCTTCATAAATTGGAGACAGAATTCATTGTGACTTAATTGGACACACAATTCTGCCTTTACAAATCTCTCTCTCTCTTTCTCTCTCTCTCTCTGTGTATGTATGTAATGGATAAGGCTCCTAAAATATGAACAGTTTTTTTAAAAATTATGAACAGGTGGTCATCTCCAACTTCAACTTGCTGCCGACATAAATGTAACAATGAGATTCTGGATGCGACATGCAAAGGCAGCCAGGAGTCTTGGCTCTCAGACTGTGCCTCTTTTTCTCAGACAGAGAAGAGCACATGTTTCTAATCGGCGTAAATGCTCTGTCTTCCCTTGTATATATATTTATAGGTCCCGATCATTTCCCTTTTCTGAGAGGGATGTTTTTGTGAGATGATAGCCATGCTCAGGACTTTGTCAGCACAGCTGGGAAACGTATGAGGAGAACCTCCTTTCCCCTCACCAACTAATTCTGCTAAATATGCCTTGAGCGCAGTCATGGGGAAGGGCCATAGCTCAGCAGTAGAGAATCTGCCTTGCATGCGGAAGGTTGCAGGTTCAATCCTTGGCATTTCCGGGTAGGGCTTGGAAAGTCTTCCTGTCTGAAATTCTGGGAAGCCTCGGCCTGTCATTGTAGACCAGGGTTTCCTACAACTCTCAGCATCCCTAGCTAGCAGGACCAGTGGTCAGGGATGATGGGGGCAGCAGTCCAAAAACAGCTGGAGACCCATGTTTGGGAAACCCTGGTGTGGACAGTACTCAGCTAGATGGGTCAATAGTCTGACTCAGCACAGGGCAGCTGCCTATTTATTTCAGTCCTTTACTCAGAACAATGTGTACTAGGATCTGACATTAGTTTTTGGGGAAGGAGGCGATAATGTACAGTGGTACCTTGGGTTAAGAACTTACCGTATTTTTCGCTCTATAAGACGCACCAGAACACAAGACGCACCTAGTTTTTGAAGGAGGAAAACAAGAAAAAAAATATTCTGAATCTCAGAAGCCAGAACAGCAAGAGGGATCGCTACGCAGTGAAAGCAGCAATCCCTCTTGCTGTTCTGGCTTCTGGGATAGCTGCGCAGCCTACATTCACTCCATAAGACGCACACACATTTCCCCTTACTTTTTAGGAGGGAAAAAGTGAGTCTTATAGAGCAAAAAATATGGTAACTCGTTCCGGAGGTCCATTCTTAACCTGAAACTCTTCTTAACCTGAGGTACCACTTTAGCTAATGGGGCCTCCTGCTGCTGCTGCGCCGCTGCCACACGATTTCTGTTCTCATCCTGAAGCAAATTTCTTAACCTGACGCACTATTTCTGGGTTAGCAGAGTCTGTAACCTGAAGCGTCTGTAACCTGAAGCATCTGTAACCCGAGGTACCACTGTAATGAGTAAAACACCTGCTTTGCGTTCAGCAGGTCCCCAGTTGAAGCCACAGCATCTCCAGGCACGACCATGTGCGTTCTCTGGAGAGCTGCTGCCATTCAGTGTCGACAGTCCTGAGCTAGAAGGCCTGACTCTGGCAGCTTCTCCCACAACTAGGGCATGGTCTTTGCTTCTAGAAAGCTGCCGTATTACCAGGCATGCCATCTTGCCCCAGCAGTTGGGGGGGCTGGCACCACACGACATGCGACGGGTCACACACATGCTGCACTGCTTGCGCGAGTGACATGTGCACATATCACTGCAGATTATTGAGGTCTCTGCCCCCCTCCTGGAAAAAAATTGGGGGTCCTTGGTCCCACCCTAGATGGTACCCTTGCATATTACTGACTCAGTCCCATTAGTATGTTTAGCTCAGTATTCTTGACACTGACTGGCAGCAACTACCTGGGATTTCAGGCAGGGTTTGATTCCCAGCCCTGCCTTCAGCTGATGGAGATTGAAGCTTCAACCTTCTGCATGCAAAGCGGATGCTCTGTCACTGAGCTGGAGCTATTCCCAAAATAAAAACCTAAGTAAAATTTGAAAAAGGAACTTAGGAAGCTAACTCACACAGACTCAAGCCTATTTAGTTCAGTACTTCCAACACTGACTGGAGTGGCCACGCAGTGTTTCAGGTGAGGAATTTCCCCCCACCGTACCTGGAGATGCTGGGGATTGAACCTGGGACCTCCTGCATGCAAAGCAGGTGCCCTGCCACTGAGCCACAGCCCTTCCCTGCCTCTTGGCAAGAGACCTGCCACTATGCACTGAGCCACGTGGATCTCAGATGGAACCTAGTATTGGCAGGCAGGCAGGCCCACTGTCCATATGGGACCGCTTACTCAAATATAGCACCCCGTCCAATGTGGGGGAGCCCTAGCAGGCTTACCTGAGGGTAAGAAGTGGGCCTGGGGATAGCAGCACTATTGAGTGGTTGGGAACCACCATTTCAATTTCCCACAATCCCCTCAAGCCATTTATCTTCCTGAGGCGAAGGACAAGATGGCACCATGACCATCCCATGTACAGAACCTGAGCAGACTGGCAGATGAATCTTGTTGCTATATGCACAATGGGGTTGTGTCCCCCACCTCATCTGAAGATGGCATTGTAGGACAGGCACACATAGCTCTGACCTCCTAGGGAATGATACAGCCAAGAGGCCACCGCCTACCGCCCCTGCCACCTGAAGCAGTTGCCTCACACTACCTAATGGTAGAGCTGGCCATTTATGGGACATTTCAGTGGTGGCTTCCAGATGCAGCTGCCTGCTACTGATTGAAACACTGTATTACTACTACTACTACTACTACTACTGCTACTACTACTACTATATCATAGAAACATTGAGTTGGAAGGGACTAGAAGGAATCTTTTGCACAATGTGTATCAAGCCACTTTAAATAACCCTGGCTTTTCCTGAATTATGTTCACAGTGGTTTAATATTCAATCCCTTTTCCCAGGGAGCTCTGGGAATTATAGCTCTGGGAGGGGAACAGGCATCCCCCAAATAACTCTCAGCACCCTTTTTTAAATATATAATTTTAATTAATTTTTGTCTAATTTACATTTCAAAATATTCATTTAGACAACCTTAAATCAATGACTTCCCTTCTTCCCTTCTTCTCTTCCGGTGGTTCATTTTGCATACCATACACCCCTGCATATTTTAAATGAACTATACCATTCAGTAATCCATTGCTACATCCTTCAAAACTTATTTACACTGTTGAGTTTATCTTAATGCTACCAGTGTTTTTAAATAAACACAATTTTCACCCATATATTCAGTAAAACATTTTCCAGTCTTCTTTAAACGTATGTTCTTCTTGTTCTCTTATTCTATATGTTAAATCTGCAGGCTGTGTGTATTCCATCCATTTATGTTGCCATTCTTCTTTGGTTGGGACCTCACTCATTTTCCATTTTTTGGCTAGCAGAACACGGGCCGCAGTAGTAGCATACATAAATAATCTTTTTTGATACCTGGGAATTTCGCTCTGAATTATTCCCAACAAAAAAGACTCTGGTTGTTGTTTTTTTGGAAAGGTACTTTTAAACATTCTCCCCCCAATTCATTATATATCATTTCCCAATACTCTTTTACCCTTTTACAAGTCCACCACACATGGTAAAACGTACCCTCAACCTCATTACATCTCCAGCACTTACCTGATTCAGACTTATACATTTTAGCAAATCTACTTGGAGTTAAATGCCATCTATAAATGAGTTAAAATGATAACTCTCAGCACCCTTAACAAGCTATATCGTTCCCAGGATCCTTTGAAGGAAGCCATGACCATTTAAAGTGGAATCATAGTGCTTTAAATGTATGGTGCAGACAGGGCTGGATTTAGGTTTGATGAGGCCCTAAGCCACTGAAGGTAAAGGGGCCCTTTATATGTCCAGCTGTCCTTTGTCAACAACAAATTATCGCTGCTTTTTTGTGTTGAATATATGCTATATGGTAATTTACGGACCTAATGCTGTTTTAGGGGTTGTTTTTAAAAGTCTGGAACGGATGTTGCATTACTTTTTGCATTACTCTCTATGGAATCCATTTTGTATTGCTTTCTTTGGAAAAGCACGCCTTGGTTTTGGAAGGCTTTGGTTTTGGAACAGATTTCCGGAACGGATTAAGTTTGAGAACCAAGGTCCCACTTTATATAGAAATGAGCAAACCAGTGATATTTTAGGGAGCAGGCTAGCAGGCGGGGCCCATTACTTACATCATAGGAGCCTACACAACACAAAACACTGTTGCTGTGTGTAGGTTTTATTTCATTTGTTTTTTATCTTATATTTTGGAAATGTACATCCAGTTGTTTTCCCTTTAATTTTTTGGGGGGTTCCCAAGAGAGTGGGGCCCCAAGCTATAGCTTGTTTAGCTTATACGTAAATCCGGCACTGTAAGCTTACTATAAGCCAATCCAGAAGTAGCAGGGTATACTGAGTGCAGATAGAGCATAAGTAACTGATGAAAACATTGCCTGTGTTTTCAGCAAGGAATACCCAGTGGTTCCCAGAAGCACCGTCCGGCAGAAGGTGGCTTCTAACCACAGCCCTTTCAGCGGTGAGAACCGGGCGCTGCCTGCCTCTTCCAACCTCGGGTCTCAGTTCCAGTGTGAGAACGGCGTTTCCAGCACTTCGCAGGACCTGCTACCAGCTGCCAACTCGTACCCCGTGTCGCAGGACCACGGCCAGATTTACCACTGCACCAAGAGAAAAGGTCAGGCCCTTTGAGCAAGAGAAATTAGGTTCGCTTTCCCTTTAGAGGCAAATCTATCCAATTGGCACTCCCCCAAACAATACAGGAATCAAATCGCAGTTGCCCTTTCAGAGCCGTACTTCTCTGAATTTTGCGACACAGATTCCCCAAGCAAACAGTGTTCACAAAGATGCACGGGTTAGGGGAAAGTACTCAAAACAAGGAATATTTTACGGAAAATATCATACAAAAAGGCATTACATTAGGGTAAACTGCTTGCGAAAACGTGTACGTTACTCAAAGATGCATGCCAAAATTAAATTATCTACTGTATTATTTTATTATTTGTTAATCTTATTAGTAGCTCTTTTTTTTTTTTACAAAAGTAATTCAAAGTGACTCACAACAAGAAATATGCAACATACCGACATCAAAACCAGTGTGAAGAAAAACAGAGAAAAACACAAAAATGTGTTTATTAGGAGAACTTCTCACTAAAAGGGCGAATTTCCATGAGGATTTCTTAAATATAGTAAACAAGTTGCAAATTAATGCAGGAATGTAGAGAAAATCCAATATTAGGAAAAAAATGAGAAACCAATAAAGACTGAAATGGGTAGATCCCTCCTTCTTTGGGTGGCAGAAAGTCCTTGGCATTTATTTATTTCTTGAGTCCATGTTACGGATCTCTTCTCCCTGTTTAATGACTACAGGGATGGCTCATGATGGCTAAGAACAGGAGGAGAAATTTGGTTTGGTTTGTCCTTTGAAGTGAACCTATCCAATTTGTGCTTCTTGGAACAGTATGCAAACTGAAAAGTCACACTTCTCTTAATTTTGCAGTGCCGTTTCCCAAGCGGTGGTACCTCGGTTTAAGAACAGTTCTCTTTAAGAACAATTTGGTTTACGAACTCTGCAAAACCGGAAGTAGTGTCCCGGTTTGCAAACTTTACCTTGGTCTAAGAACAGAATCCGAACGGTGGAAGGTCACTGGTGGTGGGAGACCCCATTAGGGAAAGCGTACCTTGGTTTAAGAACAGTTTTGGTTTAAGAACGGACTTCCAGAACAGATTAAGTTCGTAAACTGAGGTACCACTGTACTGTGTGCAAAAAATGTGTGTTTTACGGAAAAGTGTGTGTACAAGTACATACGTATCAGGGAAGATAATGTGCAAAAATGCATTTTGTTAGAGGCTATATCGCCTGTCAAAATGTTTTTGTTAGGGAAAATTGCGGGCGGATTGCATAGCAAAACAATAATTGCATACAAAATCCCATACAATTCCCAAACTCCATACAATTCCGACCCATCCCAAAATTTCCCATTGCATGTCATTCTAAAATTCCACGCAGTTGCATACAGTTCTTTGGAAGTTCCTTTGCATACAAAAGCCTACCCTTCCGATGGGTAGGCAAATTGTGTACAAAAAGGTGTATTAGGAGGGATGGACTCTGAAATGCTGGTGGATTATTGTGAGACCTTAAAAAATCACGGGTGCAGAAATGCGGTAAACATAATTTCAGACTCGGGAAAAAGAGAAATGGAAAGAAATCAGAATGGACAGGCTTGTCCATTCACAGTGATGACTGCCTCCCGCACCCCCCGCCCTCTGTAGCATGCACTAGTATACATGTATTTGCAACAGAAACAAGACATCATTCCGACTCCCTCATCCTCCCGCCAACCAGTGCTTCATTTCTCCAATTTGAACTTTAGTCCATCTCCATACGAAGCTGCCTTAGTCCATCTAGCATGGTCTACCAAGAAGCAACAGCCATGACCCAGTTGTGGGCAAACGCAGGACGCCAGTAATTTATCCAACCAGAGAAGCATAGGAAGCTGCCTGAGTCAGACCACTGGTCCATCTAGCTCAGTGCGGTTGACACTGACTGGCAGCGGCTCTGCAGAGTTTCAGGCAAGGGAGCCTCTCCCCACCCTATCTGGCGATGTCGGAGACTGGACCCAGGACCTTCTGCCTGCAAGCAGACGCTTAACCGTGGAGCTACTGGCCTCCACTTTCCCCTTCTCCCCCACTCTTTCCATTTCTCAGGCTGCTTTTCCCATTGGCCGCTATTCCGGCAATTTCAGTCTGCATTATTGAAGAGCAGCATAGATGAAACCCAGAGAGATGGCCGCATAGTTCTATAGAAGCTGAATCCACATCCAGGGAGATAGCTGGTGCCTGGGATAAAGATAGCTTATCAGGCCAGGAGGCCTCTGAAAAGGATTCGGGATTAATACAAACGCTTAAATAGCTGATGCAAGGTTATTCCGAGGGGTGAAATTTACTGCTATTTCAAGAGACTACACAGGCTCTTTTGACCACTAGCTCACATGGGATTCGAGAGCAATGTTTTGACATTGGGCCATTCATTTATTTTCTTTAACAACTTGAAAGTTCCCAGTATTCGTTTTTTTTTAAATGCAGTAGATTTATTATTATTAAAATAATAAAAACATTAATATCCAGTGTTACAGACAATCAGTTCAAAGAAACAAAGCTCCAGCAATCCCATACACCCTTAATAAGCTAGGAATAGATCTAGACCTCCTTCTGAGCAGATAATATAGGTACAATTACAACATAAGCATATATTCAATTTAACTGTTTCTTTTTATACATTTGTATTTTAAAATAGATTTATACGTTAGTTGACCAAATAACTTCCTAAGCATTGTACACAGTAATTAAACACAGCTAAAATCCACATCGCTATTCAAAAGAAAATTGGCATAAAATAATTATCATGAAAAAACAGGATTTAAATCAGTGAACCTTTTAAAATGACAATATTGATGGCAAGTCTGGGTAGGCTTGCTGTAATAAAAAAAAGGTTTTCAGCAGGCATCTGAAACAGTGAGGGCACCTGCCTAATGTTGATTGCTGTTTTCAAAAACCCACGAATTTTGCAGCAGCAGCATAAGAACAGAAGAAGACCCTGCTGGATCAGGCCAATGGCACATCCAGTCTAGCTTCCTATAGACAACCAGATGACTATAGGAGACCTACAAGCAGGACCCAAGCACAAGAGCATTCCCCCCGTGGTTTCCAGCAATGGGCATTCATAAGCATTGCTGCCTCCAGCTGTGAAGGCAGAACAGAGCCATCATGGCTACCAGCAATTTATATCTTCCATGAATTTGTCCAATCCTCCTTTCAAGGCATCCAAGTTGGCGGCCATCACTGCGTCCTGGGGAAGGCGGTTCCATGAGAAGGCTATCCATGGCTCCAAGGCATGATGGCTCTGCTCTGCTTCCACAGTCAGAGCCACAGATGCTTCTGAATACCGGTTTCTGGAATAATAATAATATAATAATAATTTATTATTTATACCCCACCCATCTGGCTGGGTTTCCCCAGCCACTCTGGGCGGCTTCCAACAGAATATTAAAATACAGTAACCTATTAAACATTAAAAGCTTCCCTAAACAGGGCTGCCTTCAGATGTCTTCTAAAAGTCTGGTAGTTGTTTTTCTCTTTGACATCTGGTGGGAGGGCATTCCACAGGGCGGGTGTCACTACCAAGAAGGCCCTCTGCCTGGTTCCCTGTAACTTGGCTTCTTGCAGTGAGGGAACTCGGCACTGGACCTCATACTCCAGGCAGAACGATGGGGTGGAGACGCTGTTTCAGGTATACTGGACTGAGGCCATTTAGGGCTTTAAAGGTCAGCACCAACACTTTGAATTGTGCTCAGAAACATACTCGTGCTTGAAAACCATGCAGGGAGGGGGGTGAATTCAGATTCTGCTTGCAGGCATCCTACAGACATCTGGTTGTCCACTGTGAGAATTGAATGCTGGGCAAGATGGGCCATTGGGCTGATCCAGGAGGCTCTTCTCATGTTCTTATGAGTATGAATGGGGTGCTGGGATGGATGGACATTGGAGTCAGAAACAAATGGAGGGTGGCAGGTTGGCAAAGGACAGTTTGGGGCAGTTGAGGCCTGCCCTTTCATTGAGTGCTCCACACCCAAGGAAGCATGGGCCTGCATACACACTATCTCTGTAATGGTTGTGACTTCCCCCAAAGAACTGTAGTTGGCTCTTTCCTGAACTACATTATTATTATTATTATTATTATTATTATTATTATTATTACCCCGCCCATGTGACTGTGTTGGCCCAGCCACTCTGGGCAGCTTCCAACATATATAAAAACATTCAACATTACACATTAAAAAGCTTCCCTATACAGGGCTGTCTTCAGATGTCTTCTAAAGGTTATATAGTTACTCATCTCCTTGACATCTGACGGGAGGGCGTTCCACAGGGCGGGTGCCACTACCAAGAAGGCCCTCTGCCTGGTTCCCTGTAACTTCACTTCCCATGCCAGAAAGCCCTCTGAGCTGAATCTCGGTGTCTGGACTGAACGATGGGGTGGAAACACTCCTTCAACTATACAGGGCCGAGGCCGTTTAGGATTTTGAATTGTGCTCCCTCAACAAACTACAGTTCCCGGGTTTCCTAGGGAGAAGCCACGTGCTTTAACTGTGTGGTGTGTGCACCCACCCAGCCATCGTCTACAGAATATCATGCTGTGGCAAACCTATTCCACTTAAACGGTCCCACTTGACGGTCTCCATATAGATATGCAACACAACCCTGCCTTATCCACTGTCTGCTGCCCTTCCCCAAAAAAGCATCCCAAACCGAGCCGTAACAGCAAAGAGGATGGCTCAAACTCTGATTACGGCCCTGGTCACAGGGAGGCAATCCATCATCTGTCTCCCAACATGGCAGCGTGATAAAGAATCAACAAAGTTTTCCTTCCAGGGTTGGGATTCCCACTGAGCGGGTGGCTCTTTGTGGCTCCCTTCCTCTCCCTTCTCCCGCTTTATCTAATTTCCTCATATTGTCACAGGCAGGAGGACTATCTCTCCCATGGTGTTCTCTCTCCCTGCCCCCCCAAGCCTCTTTCAGCATGCCCAGCTCAGTGAGATGACCGAGGGAGGGGTGTGTGCGTGCAGGGGAGAGCCTTGTCTCCTTCCTATCTCCCCAATAGCTCAAGCTTGATGGGCA